TGTGTGGATGTGAGAATTGGACTATAAAGAAAGCTGAGCACCAAAGAATTGATGCTTTTGAAGTGTGGTGTTGGAGAAGACTCTTGAGCGTCCCTTGGACTGCAAGGAGATCCAACCAGTCCATCCTAAAGGAATCCAGTCCTGAATCTTCATTGGAAGGACTGATGTTGAAGCTGAAACTCCAATATTTTGGCCATCTGATGCAAAGAACTGACTCATTGGAAAAGACCCTGATGCTGGGTAAGATTGAGGGCAGGAGGAGAAGGGCACGACAGAGGATGGGGTGGTTGGATGGTATCACCAACTCAATGAACATAAGTTTGCGTAAACTCGAGGAGTTGGTGCCAGACAGGGAGGCCTGGTGTCCATGGGGTCGCAAAGAGTCGGACACAACTGAGTGACTGCACTGACTGCCTGACTGACTGGTAGGTGAATCATATCCTACTGTAAGTATATACCATATTTTGGTTATCCATTCATCTACAAAGGATATTTGAATTGTTTGTATCCTTTGATTATTAGGAATAATGTTGCTATAAACATCTGTGTACAAGTTTCTATATAAACATGCTTTCATTAATCTTAGGTAATACCTAGTGGTAAAATTGTTGAATCATATGTTAATTCATGTTTGACTTTTTGAGGAACTGCCAAACAGCTGTCCACAGATGCTTCATCATTTTATACTCCCCCTGCAGTTTATGAGGGGTTTCCATTTCTCTGCTTTCTCACCAGTACTTAAGTCCCTTTTTTCCTTTTGGTTTATTCATTATTATGGCTATCCTTGTATGTATTAACGTATTTTATTGTTGCTTTTATTTGCATTTCCTTAATGTACAATGATGTACATTATTACTTGTGTTTGTTTGCCATTTGTATATTTTGTTTAGAAAAAAGTCCATTTGAGTTTTTTGTCCATTTTCTAAAATCAGGGTTTTGGTCATTTTGTTTTTGAGTTGTAAGAATTCCTTATTTATTCAGGATATTAAACCCTTTTCAGATGCATGGTTTGCAATTTTTTCCTCCCAAATGTGAGTTGTCTTTTCACATTTTTGATGATGTTTGAGATACAAAAGTTTTCAATCTTAGTGAAATTCAATTTTTCTGTTTTTCTTTGTTACCCATGCTTTTGATGTCAAATCTAAGAATCCACTGATAGATCCAAACTCATAAAGATTTATCCTCCCTTTTCTTCTAATAGACCCTGTGCTGTCTTCTAATAGTTTTACAGCTCTCAGTTTACATTAAAGCTTTATACCTGTTTAACTGTTGTGTCAAGGAGTGAGGTAGGACTCCCTCTTCATTGCTGTGTACCTGGTGGTCATCCAGCTGCCCCAGCTCCATTTGGGAAAGAGGCTACTATGTCCCTACAGAAGGGTCCTGGCACCCCTCCTGAAAATCCATTAGCCATAGTTGTTTGTTTCTGGTCTCAGTTTTACTCCATCGGTCTATATGTCCATCCTTACGACACTACCACACTGTTTTGATTAACGTAGCTTTGTACTAGGCTCTGAAGCTGGGTAGTATGAGTTCAGCAAATTTTTTCTTTATTGATACTGTTTTGGCTATTTGGAGCTATTTGCAATTTCACATGAATTTTAGGCTTGACATTTCTGCCCAAAAAAGCCATGGGATTATTTACAGGTATTGAACTGAATCTATAGATTGCTTTGGGGATAATTCCTATCTCAATGGTTGGTACTATCTTAAAAAAAAAAATGAGATATCTTTCCATTTAGTTAGGTCTTCTTAAATTTATTTCAGCAAAGTTTTATCATTCTTAGTGGACAAGTTTTTACCTACTTGATCACATTTATTTCTAGATATTTTATTATTTTAGACACGATTATAAATGAAATGATCTTTTAAATTATTCATTTATAATATTGAGACTAAAATTGATTTTTCACAATTGATAATAAGAATAGCTAACAACCACATAGATGTAATTAATGCCAGGCATAGTTCTAAGAGCTTTACACATGTCCCTGGTTTCAAAACACTATAGTCGATAAGATGCAGCTACATTATATTAATATGGCCTATAAGGACGCTCATCTCGGCCTCAAACTACTTTTCTATCTGTATGCACATCTACTGACACTGGAATAGCTCACTGTCACTGAATACACTGCGCCCTTCCATACTGCTGTATTATTGCATATTTGATCCTTTTTGACTAGGATTTTTGTCCCATCTCATTCGTCTGGGAATCTCCTACTTATCCTTCAAGACTTAGCTTGAATGTTAACTCAGCTACATAATCGGCCCTCTTAGGGAGGATCCACGCTGTTGTATATTTTTAAAGGCTTGCATGGGTCTCTTTTATAAAGCTTTCATCTTGTGTTGTCATTAACTTTCCTGCTTATTCTGGTGCTCTTCACCACAGTAGATTCTCAGCAAAGCCTTCCTAAATGAATGAGTGGACCAAATATACAAAGTGGCCTACTTTGTTACAAAATGTGCTCATCTTAATTCATATATATAAAAAGCAGCAAATTCCCCTGCATGTTTTAAATCAAGAAACTTAATTTTGTTATTAAACATACTAGTGATAGGGAATGAGGAATCTCTTTCTCTTTCTCCTCCCCTTCCTCCCTTATTCTCTCTCATTTAGGGTACTAAGGTCATCTTTGTTCATCTAAAAACTAACCTCCCTCCAAAAAAAAAAACAACAAATAAAGTAAACATAAAAGCTTAGAAATATGGTACTGTTGAACTTTTATGTTAAAACCTCTAAGAATATTCTTCTTACACTAACGTGAAAGAAGTGTTGCTAAGCAAAATGATTTAACAGAAAGAAGACAGTGTATTTCACATTTGAGAACTGTTTATATTCCCTGTCAAGAGTGGAACACTGACTCTGCATTTTACTTTCCTGAGCCTCAGTTTCCTCATCTATAAGGCAGAGCCTAATACTCCCTGCTCTGTACATAACAAACTACTGGGGTGAGGATCAAGAGACAGAATGCTTTTGAAAGTATGCCATGAAACAAAATGTGCTTGTGCGGTTAGTCACTCACCAAACACTGTTCTTGCGGGCACAGATTCTCTGTTAAGCCAGAACGACACTTGGGAGAGAATGACCGTCATGATGCAAGGCAGATATGTCTGAATCACAAAATACCCAATTTTTCTTTTCAAGTGGAAATGAGCTGTCATTACAGTATATTCACCTAGAAGAAAAATTTAAGAAGCTTAAGAAACTGTAGTAGTCAATAGTTTGAACATTTTCGAAATGGAAGGGATTAGAGAAAAATAGTCTCTGATTTAAAAATGCAAAGAATTTGTCCCATATATGGCATGGAAAATATATAACATTAGAATGTAATTTAGCATAGCAAGAGTATTTAAAAGAAAATTTTCATATGACCAAGGAATTTGCACGGTTTGCATACAGTGTGGTATTTGAGTCTTCTCTCTAGGTCACGCCTACTGACCACAGGATCGAGGACTCATAAGTGCTCTCTGAACACACATTATCTTAGCTGCTCGGCTCCTCATCCTCTTTGGTGCCACCCTCAAGCCTCCGCTTTAATTGTTTTCCAGTCTAGTCCTCCTTAGGCTCTTTTTGGTGTTGATCTCTGGCCACATCTCCACGACTGATCTTTTGGCCCAGAACTTAATCCTATCACCAATTCTGAATTTACCAATCTTAATGTCTTCTCTAACATACTGGGGTCAGTTCTGTCTGATCCTCACAGCTACCTTCCACTCTGCTCTGGGTTTCTATCTGCCAGATGTGAGACCGTGAGTTCATGCAGCCGTGTGTTCTTAGGGAGAGTTTCAGCTTTCCTGAGGAGGCCAGCAGTGATTACTTATAACCAAGCACTGAGAAGTCATAAATTATCCAGGATAGGGAAAAAGAACTAGAAAATGAGGGAAATTGTAACACTGATGAAGGTAAAATTGGCTCGTCGCAAAAGACACGTTAGATCAGTGGTTTTTTTTAAACTTTAACGCATATCTTGGAATCTCCTTAAAGTCTTGTTAAAAAGCAGATCCTGACTTAGCAGGACTCAGGCCTCAGTGTCTCAATTTCTAAAAAGCTCCCAAGCACAGTCTATGCTGATAGTTCTTAGACTTCAAGAGAAAAAGATTTTAAGCAAACTGATATATGTCCAATGGCTTTAACCCATTAACTTTCTTAGGAATTAGCTTTACTTTAGACTCATTTTTTACTAACCTGTACTAGATTTAATTGTCTCCTTCCCAATTGATTGGCCCAGCAGATCATATTGATTTAACCTAGAGCCATCAGGAGCAACTTGTACAGAATCAGACGCATTGTATGTCCAAATGTAAGTAACCTCTGAGGTTGTATATGCATCTGCAGGAAATCAGGGGAAAAAAATCTTTTTAAGCATTTTAATAAGAACCATCAATAATATCCAATATCAAAGGTTGTATATTTCATAGAATTATTGTTTACTATAAAACTGATGTTTAAAGATCATGTTTTTAGGGTAAAAAAGTGTCTTTGAAATTTCAATAAGAAGGGTGTGAAGCAGATCAAGAGAGGCAACCATGACCATAAGAATATTTTCACTGCAACCACTTTGAGAGATAAAGATCGAATATCTCTTTAGAACCTGCAAAAATCACTGGGCTCTGAGATGGTTAAAATGTCTTCCATATTCCCAAAGTAACAGATGAAGGCATTGCAGTAAACAGGTTACAAATACCCAAGGCCCATTTAATTATTTAATTTAGAAACAGTCATTGCTCATGAAATAAAAATTGTATTCCAAAATGACATTGTTCTCTGGACATAATGGTAACTTATTTCCATGTGAGAACAATAATGATATATATTATATTTAAAGTATTATCTTTGTAGTTAGTTTTATAGACTTTTCTTCAAAACTTTCACCTAGTTAAGAATTAAATGACTTAGCTATCATGATCCAATGCATTTCATTAGAAGAATGAGAATGTTGCTGAATATGTAAAATAACTCAGAATGCTATAGTTTCATAAATTAAAAACACTTTAAAAAATATTCATTTTAAAATTAATTATTGCACACAGATCTCACTGGACTATACTTGCATAGCATCCTAAGTAAGCTGTATATTGGCAGGAGGAGACAGATCACGTACAGACCAGATATAACTTTCTGATTTATTTGGCCAAAGATACAGGACTTATCAGAAGTGAGATGACTCTATAGCTTGAGAGCAAGCAGTGTATCTTGTCTCAGCACTTCTCTGGCCCTGGCATTTCCCTTGTGCCTGTATGTCCTGAGGGGGAACAGGCAGAGTTTCTCCACAGTTGAATAAGCAGACAATTCTGGCTGTCCTACTGACCTTCCAAAGAACTTCTCTGCACTTGTGTTTATGGGAATATTTAGAAACATTAGTTACTTCCGGTCCCTGAGCAAAACTCAGCATCACAGTCACATTTTCAATTGAGGGAGAGAAAGAACCAGCTGTCTCCAGCTGTCTCCAGCTGTCTGCCTCTAGGTCTTCAGGACACTGGAAAGCTCATCTACCTGCCACCTATACATTTTCTAGGTTAATACCATGGTTCTGGGGTGGTTCTGGGACTTAACTGGAACCAAATTCTGTGACCACAAATCCATTCGCACTTAAGCATTAGTTACAATAAAGTTACTGTTGTGTCTCATTCACTGTGTGATCTTTCAATGACATACTACAATGTGTCTGCTTTTCTGAATGTCACTAGTAAATGTTAATATCAGTGAAAGACATGTACACACCTACATCCACAAGTAAACTATATTATATAAAATATTTTTCTGAAATAGCATTCTAAAAACATGTGTATTTATATTATTTATTTATGTATATATCATTGTTTGTATATACATATATTTAATAGCAAATATCTTCCTATAGTTTGCATATGAATGAATTCAGTTACTCTAAAATCTAAATTTCTATTAAAAAATTTCAATTAATCATTGATGATTTTGTTTTTATATGTAAGTAAGTAATCTTAGTAATGTGTATAACCAGCAATGCATTCTTAGATTATCAAGTGGCTTGCTTTGTTTTCCTCATGAGTATATATAATGACCTTCTCTTCAATAAAATTTCAAATGACACATAATTTAATAAACTGAAAAGACATCACATGCTCCACTTTATATCAGAAGACCTCAGAGTACTCAGCAGTTGTAGATCTTAATACATATAAGGTTTTATTTTAAGCAATTATAATTATACTGTTGAATTTTGATGTTTACCTTTAAACATAAATAAGAGAAAATGAAACTCTGCAAAATGGTGATTTTTTGAGAAACTAATAAAAGACTAATGGGAGGGACTTTTTCTTACTTATAACTATACTTTTCACACCTGTCATAAGGAAAACGCTCTTGCTTCATTATTACTAGATTAATCAGGAAACATAACATTTTAATTTTGTTATTTACTATTATGAAAGATGGAAATCCGGATGGAAGCTCAAGAATATGTTAAAATGACTGATCCTTCCCATATCTTTTATAAAAAGAAATTATTTCATTTGTTAGGTAGGAATATGTTTTTTAGATTTGGGGTCTGGTGAGAAAAGAAAGAACAGAAAATTATGCAATGCAGATTTGAGGCATTTTCTGGTCCACAAACACACATGTAAACTCAGAAACTGTTGTGATTTTTCAGTGAAGTATAAAAGGATAAAAAGACAAATTTCTTTATAAATTGCATGTCTAGATTAGGTTCCATTACATAATTTTACTTAATTTAAATCAATAACCCATTTTGAGTCCTAATCTGAATTAGAGTAAAGGCATACTAACCAATTCTTAATATTTGATAACCCAAACAATACCAAAATGATTTTAATTATTAATTTTTATCCAAAAAAGTTAAAATTTCTTCTGGGGTGATGCCCAGAGTACTTTTAGATTTCCATTCAGGAAGTTTTAGATCAAATTAAATAGCAGGGAATTGTATAAAGATGTGAGGCAACAGCAAAAAGCAAAGCAAAATTGAATTCAAAATTGTAAGTTAGTAGAAAAGATGCTTCTTTTATTTGAGGATAATGATAAAACTCCAGGAATTCCATCACTTGTGGGAGACAAGGAGATTTTTTTAAACAAGTGAGAAGTAAATGATTAAAAGAAAAGGTCATGGCTCCTTCTGCCAAAATTTGTCTTGCCAACATTTTAAGTTTTGGGTTGGCCTGTTGGTCCATATACCATACTGCTGTCTGTACAATTAATTCTCTATGTCTCAAGTATGTACTATTGGCAAGCATAAATAAAATAATATGCAACTTTTTTTTAACTCTCTCTGTCAGAAAAAAATATAGAGAAAACTAAGTAAGCACAATTCAACAAAAAATGCCGAACGATAAGCTCTATATGTTGCCTGCAACACTTCTAAATACAGAAAACCATATTCTCAAGTGCACAATATTACATTTCTCTGGGCATGCACTATAACACATTTTAAATGTTCATTTAAAATATTTTCGAGTGTATCTATTTCATATTCAAAATTGAGACATCACTTATGTTTAGTGTCTTAATGGCATTAACTTGCCACTGCAAAATCCTTTCCTTCTTAGATCACTACTGCATCTTCAAAAAATACTTGCTTTGGTATCAAGGCTTTTCAGTTATCTATTTAATACAATTTATGCAATGCAAATGATCTTTTCTGTGCTGTATATAATGTAGTTTTCTAGCTTAATACTTACTTGGAATAACATGATTGACTATCTTAAATAATTTATGAAGAAGTGCTAGTACTGAAGTGATAGTTTCCATGACAGGAAACGAAGGCTTTGTAATTATACAAAGAGGAGATTCTCAAAGAAAATTGGGAACTGACACCTTTTGTAATATAGAACAAATAAGATTGAACTTATCATTCCATAAAACTATGATCATCAAAATAATAAGAGGGTTTTGCATTTGTATTGGCCATCATTCTTCCTTATTCTTCACTTGATACAGTCTGTGAGCAGAAGGTACATTATTTAGTCATGCATATTTTTAATCAGCTGAGAGAACAGCATTTCTGTTTAAGAGTGAAAAGTCAGAAGCTGCTCAGAATGGACAAAGATGGAGTGCTAGAAAGAGCACAGTTTCTGAAAAGGTCAGGCTATGGGACTCTCACAAGAGAGAAGCTGCTTTGCCATTGTCCAGGAATTTATCCTGAACCTGCCCTGAATGCCTTGTGGGCCTAGGGAGATGATTTGACCTTCCCTCTTTTCAATTATTCTGGGAGAGCTAATGCTTCTGGTTGACATATAAGATACAACCTCAGTGACCTAAACAACAGCCAAATGCACCGTGCCTTTTCTGAAATACTTTTTGTACACAGAAAGTGCTCACATGGAGCAATCTTGCTCCATTGACTCTTTCAAATTTATTTTAGAAAAAAATTCCCTCTATTATTAGAAAGTGGAAAGATAATTACAGAGACCCAGCTTCTTTTTTCTTTTTTTTCACACATTCTCTATTGCCATTTGTGTCAGGCTGATCACTAAACAACAGAATCTCTCCTTAACATTTTCACTCTCAGTTGAAAAAAACCCCACGTTATGTTGCATTTTTAATGTATTTGCACTTGAAAAAGGAGGTAAACGATAATAGCCCAGAACTTCAAGGAGCTCCCACTTTTTCATATGCATAAAAACATAGGGTGTTTTTTACTAGCAGTAAGGAAAATGACAATTAAACATGATAATTAAGACATAGTGATATTTGAGAATACAGGAGGGCTAGCCAATTGATTACTTGAGGGAAGTCAGTATATTTTTTGTTTCTACATCTTGTTAGAAAAGCATTAAGCATCCCATCATATGAGAAGGAAGTACACAATTAAGTTGTGATGCTGACTATCTTTGATTTTATTGACCCAAAACATGCACCTCCATCCCCATACTTACAGCTGCCAAATTTCAGAGGACATGAGTGGGCATCCATTGGAAAATCCTCCAAGTGCATTGGACATTCAGCTTGAACTGTAAGCCTAAAAGTCAAAATTCCACTCTTTGTTTAAGTAAATTGGCAAGTCAAGATAAATCACTCCTTACTGTTGTCAATAGAATTAATGATGAATGATGAAGTAGGATCCTCATCATGGCATCCTATTAGGCTAATTCACATTTAAATATGCTTTTGTTATTTCACATTTAGGCAATCGTTCAGAAGATGTTAGCATCAATAAAATCTGAGCGCAAGTAACAAAACCTAATTAAAAATACACTTTACTTAAGCATTTCATACTTTGTGGTTAGTTAAGAAAAAGTTATGTACATGTTTTTGAAGGTTAGTTTCCCATTAACTTCAATATTAACATCTGAAATCTTAAAGAAAAAAATGAAAAAAATCTCTATCATGAAAAGAAAGCTATTTTCTCCCAATGTTCCATCAATAACCATCTAGCAAACCTAATACAAGAATAACCCTAACCCTAACCCTAACCANCCTCCTACAGGGGATTTTCCCAACCCAGAGATCGACTCCAGATCTCCTTCATTGCAGGTGGATTCTTTACCATCTGAGCCACCCAGGAAGCCCATAGATACATATATATGCTAGTCTCAACAAGATATTTCTAGGATTTATATATGTATCTGTCTTTATTTATATCTGTAAATACATACATATATATACATAAATATATATATATTAGAAATACATTTTTGAGACTATACTGTTAATCAAATTATGGACAGAAGTCCATAATTGTTGAATTATAAATGTTAAAGAAATATATTTTGTATTTTCATGATCACATTAAAGAGTAATCATAGCAAATTTATTATAAAGAAAACTATCGATTATTCCATTTTGCTCAAAGGTAAAGTAGATAAAATAGGTACTAATTTGAAATTACAGATGAATCTCTTATGATGACCAAAACAAAGGGGACCAACAACTTAATTATAATGCATACACTTCTGAGAGCTTCCCAGGCAGCTCAGTGGTAAAGAATCTGCCTGTAAATGCAGGAAATGCAGGAGATGCGAGTTGAGTACAATTCCTAGGTTGGGAAGATCCCCTAAAGTAGGAAATGGCAACCCATCTGGTATTCTTGCCTGGAAAATTTTGTGGACAGAAGAATCTGGGGGAGGGGGGTGGATGGGCTACAGTCCATGGGGTTGCAAACAGTCAGACATGACTGAGCACAGAACAGCATATACTTTTAAGAGAGTATTTAAGTAGAACTCTATACAACTTTTTCCAAAATCCCAAATTTCTAATTTCTTTTCTTAATTCACAGGACTGATTAATGTGTAAAATGAATCAGGATATGATATCTGCATTGCAAGATTCAACAAGAGAAGCAGAATGAATAGCTAGCTTCCATTTTAGACAATGGTCATTTAGTAATGAAAACTACAAAAAAAGTTTCTTCTTTAAAGATCAGGACTGCATATTGTCCCTTCTTAAATAACTTTCACAACAGAAATTTACCACTTAACATTTCACATGAAATAATAATACATCAAGTGCCCGGAATACACATCTGTCTATATATAATGCTGATGAAAGTTATTTATTTAGACAAAGTCTTTATCAAATTTTACATTTTATATTATATATCATTTTATTAGATTTGCAATTGTTTTCCTTGTTACATAACATTTTAAAAGATTAATTTGTGAGAAGAGTTAAAATGGAATAGTTGCTAGAGTCAACAACTATATATTTCTTTAGATAATTTTTAAGATTGTAACATCTGAACTTGGAGTTACAAGGCATCTCTGAAGTTGTAAAAGTATTTTTTCTTTCCTAAGAATCAAAACAGTAAGTGAAATTTGCTAAAAAAAAAAAAAAAAGGACTTAAAATTTTGAAGGAATAGTTCATGAGATATTAAAAACAAAACTTCATACTAGTATAAAGAAAATTTTAAACCATACTGTTAAAATTGTACTTAACTCCAATGTAGTATGAAAAGGAAATTGACAAAAAAATAAATACATTTTTAATAGTTAAAGCAATTTTTAAGTTTTAACACACTCAAATGAGATTCAAACTCATAAATACTACTTTACCTTTGCTTTTTAATATTCAAGCATTTACAAAACATATTCTGGTTTTCTCAATAATCTGTTGTAAAGGTATTCAACTTGCTAGTGCTTGATACTAGTTTGGCTGGTTGGTTCATACACAGACTCCTCGGTATTCAAAGGCGACACGTCAGATCTAAACACGTACCTCATCGTGTACAGCAGGGTGCCGTCATCCTGGATTCGCAGCAGCTTATTTGGCATTGTCATATTGTGCGCCACCGACTTCTTACCGTTGTGGAAAAAGGTGTCCGGAGTCCAGATTTTGCTGGCCATTAAATTGTTGAGTCGTAGGATGTTCATAGGACCTTTAAATTTTAATCGCTCATCTTTCCATTTTTGTCGAAAGAAAACATCTATTGTATATTCCTGAAATAGAAAATAGAATTTTTGAAAATAATACCCATTTTAGATACAAGGATACTATAAAATTAGAAAAAAGTAATAATATAGTTCAAAAACACAGAAAACTATTTTGAGAAGTGAATTTTGAAAAATCACTCCTTTATATTTATCAATAATTGTTGCTATTTACAAAAGGATAAAGCATATATAGTCACACAATTAGTTACACATTATGAAAAGAAAATGAGAAATACTTTCTCTGACCTCTTTCAGTTGAATAAATTCTTAGTCAAACTGCATTACTGCATTGTATGGTTTAAAACTACTTGGAAAGGGGGTATGCTTGGGCAGAGTTTGGGTGGATTTGTGCCAAATTACTTAATCACTTATCTCAAGAATGAATAAGCAGGCAGCCTGATTCTAAGTAGCCAAAAAAAAAAAAAAGAGGGAAAAACAGCAACACTTAAACATACACACTGTCAGATCTAAATGACATTTTCTATTACCAAAGAAACTGTAGAATATCTTATTGTTTTTTAACCCTAAAAAAATGATGATATATCATATTGTTAATGAGAAATTGTTAGGAGATGATGATTTCAATAAAGTTTATTTTATGAATTAGTTGTAATGAAAATACTTTGACAAGGTAATAGAATACTAAAAGTATGAATGTCTTGCAAACAAACACCCTCAGGTTACAATGTACCTTTAAATATTCATACAGACAAACTATTGATCAATTCCTCTATTATCATTCTTCAATAGTTTAAGTTGATTTATTCAATCTGTCTCTCTCTCTTTCATCCTCTCTCTTTATCATTCCCCACCTCCCTTTTCTCATTCTCTCTCTGTCCTTCTTAGGATAAGAGAATGCATACATTTTAAATATGTACAATTCACAATTGTGATCAATACTGATAATTTATTGGATACTAAAATTTTGGTCAATGTATGTTTGTGTAAACACTTTCATGATAAATAACTAGAATGTTCAGTTACGCCTCTGAGGCTGGAAATTCAGAAACTGTCCTTTGAGCACAAAGCCACAGTCATCACATATTTAAAAATAAACACCTTAGCAATTGGCAATTTCACTCAACTAAAATTGTCTGTTCAGAAAAAGACATTAAAAAGGTCACATACTTATGACAATATCAAATCATTTGTACGAACCTCACTTCAGTAAATGATTCTGAACAATTCCTCAAAAATTGAATGGATGAAGATAAGCAACCAGCCACAGGTAATGATACATGGACAGTGACTCTGGGTCCTAAACCTTGGTAGAAAATATCATCACCTAATCTACACTCACTGTGATTCAGTCCCTTTTTAAAGTTTAATTTATAGAAATATAGCTCAATTTAAAAAAAAAACTAGATTAAAAGATGAGTTTTTAAATTTATTTATTTATTTTAATTGGAGGATAATCACTTTATAACATTGTGACGGCCCCTGCCATACATCGACATGGTTTGACCATAGGCGTACATGTGGCCCTGTAAGTTTTTGCTGTCTGGTATGTTTTTATGTAAATGTTTCTTTGCAAATGTGGTTTTGCCAAATCCATGTCTGATGTGAGCACACTGGACATTTACTTGTTCAGTAAATGAATATACAACTTTTTATAAAACTTCAAATTTCCTATTTCTACAAAACTATGGGATGCTTATCTGTTTCAGAAATTCTCGCTAGCAGCAGCAACCCTCCGACAGAGCCCTCACGTGGAGGTGCTCAGGGCTTCCGGATGTGCCTTTCAGGTGAGCTCCTCTTCTTTCTCTAAGCTTTTCATTTTGTACTGCAGTATAGCCCAGTAGCGACGTTGTGATAGCTTCAGATGAACAGCAAGGAGACTCAGCCATAAATATTTTAAAACTATTTCTAAGAACACTGTTTTTGAGCCTTCAAAGCCTCCCAAGTGTACTCTGCCATCCTAGGCAGACTGTGCATTTTTCTCCTCCCCACAACCAGGCACATTCATGTGACACTCGAGGCAATTTTCCTGACCTTGCCATTCCTCGGATAAAGCAAATGCTCTACCTGCCTGGGTCAAGAGCTCAACTCTCAACCACACTCCCAGGCCCCTGAAGACCTGGAAGAAACACAGTCTGTTGATCTTTACTACGTCACAAAGCTTTCCATTACTACAGCATCATAGACTGCAGTTAAACCTTCGTTCTTCTTTATTTAGAATCCTTATCTAAATATAACAAGTAGGTGAAGTTTTGCTAGTAAGTAATGCACCCTATGATCCTGGTACTCACTCTGCCCCTGCCACTAAAGGCGGAGTCATGTGAATAAGTCATCCTACGGGAAGGGAAGAAACTAGGGCAGGGAACGGCCAAGGGGCGCTGGGCTCGTCTACATTCAGTGGGCTGCGATTTGCACTCAAGTACAATTTCAAGTTATAATATCTAGTTTTGATTAAACTAACTCTAGTGAAAACAAATTGACTTAAAAAATCACTGCTAAGTGATCCCATGGATTAAGGAAAACACTGATAATTATACAACCCAAGTGGACAACAAGGAAAGGGGCTATCACTTCTATGACTAACACGAGTTCTTCATTCACCACATAAAAATGATGAACTAACCAACTCTACAGAGAAATATGCAAAAGCAAATGTATGATTTTCAGTAAAGATAATTAAAATATGAGTTTAGATCCACCATATTTAACAATGAGCTTCATCTGAAGCACATATTGTACCATGCAATACTGCTAAATGATAGAATAAGGACATTGCAAATACTAAGCTGTTTTGAAAACCAAACATCCAGAAAATGAAGATGTATATCCAGAACTGGTGAATGGGTTTTATAAAAATTGGCATGATGGGTCAGTAATCTGTAACCAATAATACACTTCTTAAACTTGAATGTATGTCTCTTTCTGGACCTATACCAGTTATTGAGACAAGTATTAAAATGATATGAATTTGGAATCAGATCTTGATTGCTATATTATGAACTATTTAAGCAAGATATATAAAAATAAAGCACATTTAAACATAGTAATTGTTAAAATACTCTCAGGAATAAAAATATTAAGTAGAGTAAAAATATGCATATCCACTAAGCTACAACAGGATTTCCAAACAAATTATTTGCATATGTAATTTGATATACATATCAAGTTAAATCATATATAACTCAGTATTTTCTCAGTATTTGAAAAGAAAATTCTTGAAAGGTTTCTTAAAATAAACCTCGTTTGTCATGAATATATACTAATAAAACAATCATTTGATTTGTGTGTTACAAGGAAGTTGCCAGAGAAGTACAAACATCAGAGCTTCTTCAGACAAACGAGACGCGGCCCCTTGAACCGAGGTCCTACGGGAATAAACACCACCAAGAGCAGCACAGAACCGCTCAGAGAAAACACAACGACCAAGGAACAAGTTTAGAAAGAAACGCAGAAGATTCACAAGGACACGTCAGCACGCAGCCATCCTCCACTGGCGTACAGGGCACGTGAGGCTGCGAAGGGAGACAGAGTCGGAGAGTCCGCACACTTGAGGATTTGAGAAATTCTTTAAGGGAAATTTAATCAAGCATCTCCGTTCTGTAGACCGATTTATAAACAAACTTAGTGACTGTCCCGTTTCCAAGCTTGTGAGGGACAGAACTCACACAAGGATGCGTTTTCCAGCCGTGTCTTTACTGCCACTAAGCATTATTTCCATCAAATGTATTGCAAATAAGGATATCGCTCTCTATTGCACAGTTAATTGGATACATGTGATTTCGAGGACACATTAACTTAGTGAACACAGCATACTTCTTACTGCTTGGCTACATTAATTATAAGCCAGCGCTTGTAGCCAATTTCTGAAGAATTTTATCTACGCACGAAAACATGACCAAATCGCAGGACTTGCTCTTGGAGTGATTTCTCATTTCCTTTGATTTACTGAGTGTGTTTTAAAGTCCCAAAATTTATTTCATTAAACCCATTTGTTATTAAAGGACAGTCTCCTCTAAGTTTCAGTCTGTGTTTGTTTTATCATGAAGAAAAATGTGGCTTATGAGACAGGTATACAGCAATTAAAGAAATAACACCCTGAGACTATATAAGAATGGTAAGTTCCAACACTTTCAGTTGGTACTCAAAGGGGTGGGAATTAAGACTCTAGCCTGGTATTAGCCCTGCAAAAACTGCAAAACGTAAGAAGCTTAAGAATAAATCAGCAGTGTCAATAAACCCAATTAGTACCCATCATAAAACCTTATTATGCAAAGAAGCTCACACAAACAGACTGCAGACCACCACAGTTACTGCATTTTTGGACTACTGCATGGGCAAGATGTCTGGGCTTTCTCTTTGGAACTACATGCCTGGCAAGCTTACAAATTAGAAACTGTTACTAAAGATTCAGATTCTAACAGTAAATGATTTAAAATATCTAATCAAAGTACTTAAAATGATTAATAGTTAAAATATGTCAATTGCAACTCATTTTGACACAATGTATTGTTCAAAATTCATTACAGTCTTTTTAAATATACAGCAGTATTTCCATTTCACAGGTAGGGAATATTTCAGAAGTCATATTCATTAAAAAAGAGAAAGAAATCCAACATTTGAACTCAAACCTTATGTTTCCTGACACTACGTTCTTTTGCTTGTACCATACATAAAAACAATCCTTGGGGGTGGGACAGAAATTTCCTTCTTTATAGACTAAAAAATAGACTCCAGTCATGTGTCATGGAAAGTTACAGGAAGAATTTAGTTGCAGGTTGAGAATCAGAGTTTTGAAATTGTCAAAGTCTTCTTTCCATATTTAAAACTGACTCAAACACGAGATGGAAAAATAACAACAATAATAAGTTGAGTGACATGAAATAGATGTTACGTGCATGGCCTCATAAGTCAAGCGGACCAGAGCACTTGACCTTGAGCAGGTTACTTAATCTCTCTTTGTTTCAGCTGACTTAATCTGTAAACCAGCGGCAATTACACACGTATTTCTTATCAGTATGGAGTGGGATAACACATGTAAAGTTCTTAGG